CATGAGATTGTTTCTAACATATTTATAAGATTATTTCTTTGTTGCTTTGTATGTCCCTACCCCACGGTATAACCCCTGCTTTCTCTGTATTTGATGTTGGTATAATTTGTGGAGGGGAAGGGAAAAAAAACAAATCGCTTAAATAGGGATACAGGTGGACCATTGCAACAATGAGATGTACAAGTCGTTATGTCAAAAACGAACTTTACAACTTTGGTGGGGTGGGGGGGAGGAGGGTTGGGTGGAGGGGGGAAGATGGGAAGGAGCGCTATTTTCTAGTTCAACCTTCAATCCCAATTCCAAACTGCCACCATCTGTCATGTCTTCTTTAAGACCTGCAGCCCATCTTTCATTTTAAAGAATCATTTGGTCAGAGACTTGATGTTATTTTCTTTATCCCTTAGAACTTGTTGTGCCTGGGCTTTGGAGTTTTCAAATGCTCTTTTCTGTTTATCAAGTTCACTCACTTGTTCTTTCCATACCTCAGTTTCTTGTAAAGGCTGTTACTGGTTTTCCTGAAGTTGGGAATTTTCATTCGCAGCATCAGCTATTGCTTCCTTAAGACAGGCTTCAATGATTTGAAGTAATCTGAAGGTTGCTTTGGCTTCAACTACTTGTGACTTGAAGGACTGTGATTATCTTCTAAGGACTGTATCTATTTTGAAATATCTGTCAGCAGTTCATCTTGTTGAGAATGTTTAGATTTCTCACCTCACAGCTCTTTTTCTAGGAAGGATATTTTGTTCTCAAGTTCAGATTTGAGCCCAGCCCACTCTTCATAGGTTGTCTTCAAACTTTGGGCTTCTATCCACTCCCTCTCAAAGATGGCAGCCTTTGTAGATGACTCTAAGCCTTCACACACTTTCTGAAAAAGGCTCACTTTTTAAGTAGTTCACAATTTTCTTCAATGAGTCCAGAGTACCATAGAGCAAACTGCTTTTCTCTTCTCATAGAAAGCCAGCTTCTAACCCAAGGAAAACTTTTTTTTATTGTGAAAATACTGTACAGAGGGGTTACAATTACATGGGCAAGATAATGAGTACATTTCTTATCAAGCATTGTAACCTCCTCCTTTCCCCGTCTCATCCCTTCCCATCTTCCCCCCCCAACCTTCTCCCCCTCCACCAAAGTTGTAAAGTTCTTTTTTGACATAAGGACTTGTACATCTCATTGTTTCAATGGGTCCACCTGTATCCCTATTTAAACTATTTGTTTTTTTCCCTTCCCCTCCACAAATTATACCAACATCAAATACAGTGAAAGCAGGGGTTATACCATGGGGGAGGGACATACAAAGCAACAAAGAAATAATCTTATAAATGCGTTAGAAACACAAGCATGAAAGAAAAAAATCATTTGAATACATATCTTAGGGTTCATTTCCCTAACATCAACTTATCTGACCTTTTCTGCTTGATTCAAACATATACTACTTATTGCAAATATGGGAAACCATGAGACCTATGTTTCTTTGGGCCTGGCTTACTTTACTTAATATAATTTTTTCCAAGTCTTTCCATTTCCTAACAAATGGGGCAATGTCATTCTTTCTGATAATTCCATTGTGTATATATACCACATTTTCTTGATCCATTCATCTACTGAGGGGCATCTGGTTTGGTACCATATCTTAGCTATTGTAAATAATGCTGCAATAAACATAGTTGTACTGGTAGCTTTAATATGGTCTTGTTTCCACATAAGCAAGAGAACAACGATTAATACAAGAGCTACATACATCACCAATTTCCATGGAAAGCCTTGGGGATTCTGGCCTGATCTACTGTCTTCAAGCAATGTGACCACAACTCTGCCAAGACCAGTCCCAAGAATGGCTGAGGCACCCTTGGCTGCTGGTGCTATGGCAGCCATGGCTTGGCCTGGATACCTCAGATCATATAAAACCCTCAGACTTGTTTTCAGAGTAAACCACTGCTGAACTGGCTGCAGGGGTGGGTGGTGGGTGGAGCAGGTCTCAGCCTGACACATAGGCTCTTCACACAACCCTATCCCTCAGTTTGGCTTTGGTCAGATTATAGCAGTTTATTTCCTGACATAACTAATTTGCCAATAAAATGTTACGTGTGTACAGGCAAAAAAAATGTATATAGGTGTTGTGGTTTGGAAGATCCTCATGTGAAGACTTATACCCCTGGGCGTCTGATTGGATCATTAGGAGGCTGTCTAGTGGGAGCTCCTTATGTACTCCCCCCAGTTTTCCTCCCATAACTGTGCCAGAAATTTGGAACAGAGATAGGCAATTCTTTGAGGCTACTCTCTATAGACCATTCCAGAATGCACTTGTTCTAACAGTTGAGAAAAACCCATAGTCATGCAGGAATAAACTGCAGTGGATCAGCCATCTAAATGTAGGCGCTAAACCCACAAAATGCTAAGAAGAAATATAAGGGTAAGTCCTATGCCAAATGGTAAGAATCCATGGCTTCTTAGCTATAATAGCAAAAGCACAAGCAACAAAAGAAAAACTATATAAATTGAACTTCATCAAAACCACAAACTTTTGTTTATCAAAAGGCATTATAAAGGAAGTTGTAAGACAACCTACAAATGGGGAAAATATTTTTCAGCACCTTTAGATGAGTACCATTGCTTCAGATCCACATCATGTTTTGGCTATTCTCACTGAAATATAGTATTTTGTTGTTGTTAGAAGCAATGTTAAGATCTAATACGAAGTGGCAGATATAGGGAAAAAGAGTAAGACAAGTAGATTCAGCATTAAGAAGCTTAAGGTTGATTTTTGACTTGGAATTATTCACTGGGAACTTTCAAGAAAGTCATAAAAAAGCCTCAGACTTCTTACATAAAACTGAGAATAAAAATTCTGTTTATCTCAGGAATTCAATAAAATGAGAAATATACATGAAACCACTCAGCGTATCAGTTTGTCAAGAGGTGGAAGCAACTTAAATTTCTACCAGTGGATGAGTGGAGAAACAAAATGTGGTATATCCATACAATGGCATATTATTCAGCCTCAAGAAGGAAGGAGCTACCCTCAACCCTACAGAGTTCTAATTATATTCAGATGTCCTAATAGTTTCCCTTCATCATTGTAAGTAATTTAATTTTTGTCTATGAAGTTTACTTACAAACAAGCAACCAAGTCACTTTATTTTCTTCAGTACGTGAAGGAACTGGTTCAGCAGAATGTCTCCATAGCTGTGCTTTTCTAATGTTTGGTGAGGGGCTGGCAAGAATTTTAATGATACAGTAAAGAAAAGAATATCTATATAACTAATTTGCTATGTTGGTGTATTGCCGTGAGTTTACCTTTAGTGGCCGTTTGTCATTTCATAACAACTATGCATTTTGGTTCACTGTGATGATGATTGATATTTAGTGACTGCAACACGTTTATACCACTGATTCAAATTCCATTCATGATGAAGTTATACAAATAATGCATATATTGATATCTTTTATTGCAAAAATGTAAATTTATAACTTGTATAATATTCTAGTGCTTTTTGAAATAAAATATGTTATATGTGTATATTAAAAAAAGAAGAAGACATATGCTAAGTGAAACATGCCAGTCATAAAAGGGTGATTTCACTTGAGGCATTTAAATAATTAAATTCATAAAGACAAAAAAATGGAGGTGCCAGGGGCGAGGATTAAGTGGAGGAGGAAGAATAGGCAGTTGTATTCAATGTTATTATTTAAAAAGCAATTAAATAACTTAGTACATTTAATAACTTTAATAAGTTATCTAATAAGTTATTAAATAAGTTATTGAATAATAGAGCTTTAGTTCTTTAAGAGGAAAGGAATCTTGAGATTGGTTGTACAACAATGTGAGTCATATAATTCAAAATGGCTAAGATGATAAATTCTATGTGGTGTGCATTTACCACAATTAAAAATTAAAATAAAAATCAGCATCAAATATATAGAGTGTGCTCAGTAAAAATTAAAGTAAAACCTGGTGGCTTCATTTCATAGATTAACAAGAGTGGAAGATTACAAAGGAGAGAAGCTCCTATCAATAAAACTGAGTACTTAAATAAAAAATTGCTGTATCATCTCAGCATATGAAATTACATGAGAGTCTGGGTTATTTTAATTCTCTAAGAGTTAAACAATTATAATTTGGGATGCATTTTAATTAGTTCCACCAAAGGCCCATAAAGTTATTTTATTATAATACGTAAGGAGTGAAGGGAAAGTCTAGGCCTTAATTGAAGTCAGTATCAGAAATAATAAATCTGGTTTACAATATCCCCACTGGCAATCTTTTTTTCTTAAACTCAATTCTGCATGGAAGCTTCAGCTTTATGAGGTTCGAGATGACATTGACCGAACTCAGTTATTACTTTGTCAATTCACAGGTGACCAGAGCTCTTCCTAGGTTGCTATCAGGAAGGAAAGACACAGATGGAAAAAATATAGTTCATATGTGGACAAAGCTTAAGCACACAGACATGTATACACACACATTTGACTATTTACCTATATACATGTGCACATTCACTGCACACATGTATTTACACACATAGCACCTAAATGAATGATAGTTCCAGAAGAAAAAACAGTCTATCATTGAGCAATGATATCAAGCACACCAAAAGGATGTAAAGGTGAACACATACATGTGTACTGTGAGCTTTGCTGCCTTTGATCCTGTCATCTTATATGGATTGGTCTGGTTGTGAATGGCTAACACTCAACATTTATAGTGAAACTCTAGGAGTCTTGTTAGCAGGTGAATAAAGGGTGTGTGCATGGGGGAAAAGGGAGAGTCTAGGTAAGTCTTGCACTATTTCTTTTCTTTCTTTCTTTCTTTTTTTAAGGGAAAATCTTGTTCCAAAGTAGAAAAACTTCTTAAAAAATATTGAAAATTGTGACCAAAAACATTCCAAGTTCTGTTGATAAGTCATAGTTTTTGTTTTTAAGGCACCTTTACTTTTTGAATACCTTATAAAATGAGCATTTATAAAAGAGAAACACAGGCAAATTTTTGAAAGTAAGTTTACCTTATAGTTAAAGTATAGCCATCCTTTGGGGCATGTTCCATGTTGTTTTGTTGTATCTTTTTCTGCCTCGACCGCTAATGCCTTTTTTCGTTTACAAATAACAGGCATAGACATTGAACAATGTTCCTTTCCCCAAAGCCCTGGAGGAGAAAATTGGTCAGAAATGCCTTAGAAATAATGGTGACTGTTGGTGGGGTTTGTCTATTGATCTCTCTCTCTCTCTTTTTTAGGACTGTGATATTTTTATTATCATAATTTACCTTTTCAATCTATTAACTTACTAATTATAGAGTTTCCCCTTGACAACAGCTAACTGGGCAAGATGCCAACTCAGCAATTCTAATATTATTATGTATTTTTTTTTACAAATGCATAAATATTTGACAAGGGCAGAAAAATACCTTATAGAGTAATATTTGTTTTAAAATATTCAGCTTCACTGTACAGAAAAAAACAGTCTAGAACAATAAATGATCACATATCACATCTAGTAAACCATAGAGTACAATGAAATCTACTTTATGATTTAAAAAATAGAAAATAGAGGTTGAATGTCTGTAATCTCAAAATCTAGAATCAAACTTTTTCTGAGTGCTGACACAATGCTTAAAAAGTTTTAGATTTCAAAACGTTTCAGATTTCAGATGCTTAGAAAAAGGATGCTTAACTACGTAAAGCTTATGTAAAGATTCCAAAATCCAAATACCTAAAATCTGATATACTTCTGGTTTCAAGTATTTTGAATAAAAATCAGGAAGGAAAGCATTTCTCAATACTGACCCTTACATAAAATATAATATATAAGCATGTCTTCAATAAGATACTCCTTAGCATAAGCATGTGTTCAATAAGATCCATCCTCAACTCCTTAGCTCCTGCAGTGGCCTTTCCCTCTTTTTATTTAGAAGAGCTTTATTTTCAGAGTAACAGTTACTGGATGCATTTCATTAGCATTCATGTCACAAATTTCAGAACAGAGCCGAATGCATGCAAATTACAAGGGCAAGTTCAGTTCTCTAGTATAGAAATATGAGCCCAAAAGATGTTGGCTGGGAAGGAGGAGCTGGATTGCCATTTTCAATGCAGATTAGTTGCTATTCTCCCAGACTCACAAAACAACCCTTTTTGCAGGCTCTTGTGACACCTGCTGGCAAAAGCAAACTGATTAGCCACATTTTTCTTTGTGTTTCCACCCCCCTTTCCTTTCCTTAACTCTGCAGAGGCCCTCCCACTAAGAATTGCTTTTCCATTCATCATCTCCTGACCTGAGTGCAGCCTACTTGGGAATCTGTTAAAACAGGCAACATCTTTATCTTTTACTTGGTTAGAAAACGTATGTGGGTATTTGTGGACAATCAACTCAATCAAAACTATACTGATAAATAACAAACCGTGCATGCGCACGTGTGTGTGTGTGTGTGTGTGTGTGTGTGTGTGTGTGTGCGCGCGCGCGAGCGCGTGCGTGTCACCAAACAGGTCTTCAGAGCTAAATGTGCTTTTAAAATCCACCTTGCAAAACAGTTGCTATTTTCCACAAGTCCAGAAGTAATGAGTTCTGGGAATTAAAATAACAATTAAAAAAAAGAGAACAGTTCATTGAATGAAGGTTTTATTAAGAGGAAAAGAGGAAATAAACTTCATATTCATTAAGGTGTTAATTTATAAAATGGAGGTATATATAACACTGCCCCCCCATTAAAATTAGAATAGTATTTATCAGGCTTCGAAAAACAAAAATAAAAACTGGACTAAATTATTTTTAATGCTTTCACATTTGCTGTCTTCTAACTTGTTTGAATTTCTCCATATTATTTTGTACATTTTATTTTTATTTCACCTGTATATTCACTGATACAGATGTTTGCATACATTTTAAGTTCTATTTCCAGTTACCATATGCTAGTTAAATTAAAATGTGCATATTTCTAAAGAAGAAGGTTGATTTAACAGTCTCATTGGGACCATTTTTGGTGCTGTTTTGATTCACTAGAAAGGATTATCCAGATATAAATTATTTTCAAAACAGAAAATTAAAACAGAAGAATGGCCACCCATAACCTTTAAAATCAATGAGATTGGACAGTTAACTGAGAAGAAAAAAAATCAAACAACCTTCTCACTGAATTGATACCTAAAGGAGACTTCAAGGTTCCAAAAAATAGTTTTCATTATTATCCCAAATATGAATAAATAAAGTAACCTGTTATGGAAGAAATAAAGCCACATCTCTGGCTCTGATTATTCACAGGTATCTCTTGTCCTCTGTCCCAGTTCTGGTATATTACTGGTGATCCATCTCTCCAACTGTAGGAAAATTAAAAATGTCAAAGTCTTTTTACTTGGCATGTTGAGTCACCAGCACTGCTCTTAAGTTCTAAGGTATGGATTAAAAGTCTACTAAATAGTGTATTAAATTTAGAAAATACTCATAAACAGAATTGTACCTGTAGTTAACAAATACTGTATTGTATTTGGAAGCATTTTCTGAAAAGGTAGATTTTATGTTGCATTTTTAGTATAAAAATAAGCTAATAGGGCTGGAGGAAGATTTTGGAAGGCATGGATGCATGTTTGGAATAGATTGGTCATAATTTCATGGAGGAGTACTTTAGAAAGACTCATGTTTTGGCTAGAGGAATTCAAATTTATAAGTTAAAGATAAGTTAAAGATGATCAACAAATTGATCACTAAGAGGAAATCATGTCATTCAATACTTAAAACTTATCAAGTAAATGGCTGAGAAGTTGGCTAAGTGGTAGAGCGCTTGCCTTGCATGCATGAGGCCCTGGGTTTGATTCCTCAGCACCACATAAGTAGAAAAAAAAAAGCCAGAAGTGGTGCTATGGCTCAAGTGGTAGCATGCTAGCCTTGAGCTGAAGAGCGAAGGAAAACCCCCAAGCCCAGAGTTCAGGCCCCATGACCAGACCCCCCCCCAAAAAAAACCAACCAAACAAAAAAAACTTATCAAGTAAAATCAAATGCAAATTAATCTAGGTTCATACTGAATTTCATCATTGGCTTGCTCTTCTTGGTATCCAATCCACCAATTCACACCAAACTTTGATAGCTATTAAAAGAAAGAAAGGAAGAAATAAAACATCAGCATTTATTCTTCTTGTTTGCTTTTTTTTCTCCTCTATTAAGATGAATGGAGTTGCTGCTAATAGCTTTCTAGTATTTAGTATTTTACCCAATTATCTAAGGAAGAGTAACTAAGATCTGGTATCTTGAGGAACTCAGGAACTTCATTATTCTAAAATATTATCTCCTCATGAGATAACTCTTTCTATGAAAGAAAATTGTTGTAAAATATTGAAAATAATTAGTTTCATTCAACATGGAAAATAAAATTTCTAACTTCATACAAATGAATTACAGGGAGTATAATAAACTAGTATTGCTGATTCATGCCAGTAATCCTAGCTACTCAGGAGGCTGAAATCTGAGCATCACAGTTCAAAGTCAGCTTGGGCAGGAAAGTTTGTGAGACTCTTATCTGTAATTAAGCACCAAAAATAAATAAATAAAACAAATAGAGCTGTAGCTCTAGTGGTAGAGCACAACCTTGAGTGAAAAATCTAACCAACAGTGTCCAAGCTCTGAATTAAAGGCCCAGAAACAGGGGGGAAAAAGTAATATAATAATGTGAAATAGAAGATGGATTCATTTTCTTACTAGAGAAATTAGTGGCTTATTCTCTTCTTGATTTAGAGAAGCTCACTGTAGATGTTACATCTACATGAATAGGATAAAGATTTTGAATTTTACGTAGTGGTCTGATTGTTAACATCAATAACATTCAAATAAAAAGATACAACATAGGTCAAAGAAATGCTACTGAATTCCAGTGTTTGACAACTAAAAATAGGAGTATATATGTATATATGTAAAATAATAAATTATTTTAGTACCAATATCAATCATATAGATCTAAGCAAAATAGAGTAAAAAATTAAAACATTATGTGCCCATGCTTTCATTAAAGCAGATGTGATATTGGACTTAGAACCTGAGAAACTGAGATTCCTTCTTTAAATATAAAAGAGGAAGAAGCACTAAGATTTCTTAGAGACCCCCTAAGTTAGAATAATTTGTTTTGTAGGTGTGATATGTATAAATGTTGAAATTTAATTTAATTTTTATATACCAAAAACCCTAATTTGAAGGCATTATATATTTAAATTTGCACTCTCATTTCTGTCTGGGAATATTCTATTCTGGGAATATGTTTTATGATACATTATTTTTCCACATGAGTTTCAAGTCATCACCTAACAGAAGCTGATAGTTGGCTACCACTCTAATTTATAAATAGGTATTTTTACCTCTTGAACAATGTGTCTGTCTATCCTGTCAACAATTTGATAGGAACAAGTATAATTTTGGATCCCTGGGGTGTCATTACGTGGATATGTTCTTATATGCTGAATATAGAGTCTCTTGGTTAGACGTTCGAATGGACTGTTGAGACTGGCTGTGAACTCACTGGGAGAACCACAAAAATCATGGCCTGATTGTTCAATGCCCTAACTAAAGACCACTAAAGAGAAATTACATTTTCTGCATTTTAAGTGGCATTTTCATTAGCACCTCAATTATAGTATGGTAATCTCCCACACAGCACATCATTGAAACCTATTGTGATATGGTCCAAAACTTCACAGAGCAATGGAAGATACCCAGGCTGAAAATGGTAAAGACAGACAACAGATTTAGCTTAAGCATAAGGTCACAATCATGTAAACCTATTACTATGTGCTTGTAAAACAGAAATGTGGTATGTCCATTAATTTTAAAGCAGGAATACTATTTGTTTTAAATATGCAAGCAACCTTTACAGGTGGTACAATGTGGAAAGAACATTTAACTAAAAAATATGATGCAATAATCTATGCTAATCTACTAAACTACATAAGAAAAAGCAACCTGTCATTTTAAAAAAAATGTTTCATCAAAAATGGTAAAACTAAGCTGGGCATAGGTAGCTCACACCTACAAGCTGAGCTACTCAAGAGACTGAAATCTGATGATTGTGGTTTAAAACCAGGGTGGGCAGGAAAGCTTGTGAAACTTTTATTTCCAATTAACCAGCAAAAAAAACCAGATGTAAAGTTTTGGCTCAAGTGGTAGAACACTAACTTTGAGTGAAAAAGCTGAGGGATAATGCCCAGTTCAAGCTCCAGTATTGACACACATGCACATATACACAAACACACATATACATACAAAAATGGCAAAATTAACCTATTTTTAGGGCTTAAGACATCAGATTTTGTAGAACTAGTTGAATCTGTCTATCTATCTATTATATAAATATAATTATAGCATGAAATAGAAATATAACCAAGACATAGAAGACTGATACTGGATCCCTGTCTCTCCTCCTGTAATAAAATCAATTCAAAAGGGACCAAAGATCTTAATGCAGGATGTGAAACTGCTAGTGGAAAACATAGGATAATGCATGCACAGATAACAACTTCCTAGATAGGGCTGCAATAGCTCAAGAAGTAAAGGCAAGGATTGAACGATGGGATTACACTGAACAAAAATCATCTGCACTGTTAAGGAAACAATTACTAGAATGAAGAGATAGCCTGTAGAATGGGAGACAATATTTGCCATGTATTCTTCTGACGAGGGATTAATAGCCAGAACATACAAACAATGCAAAAAACCAAACACCATATTAGCCAATACAGATGGACAAATGAATCGAACAGACAATTCTGAAGTAGAGATGACCAACAAATACTCGAAAAACATGCAACATTCCTAGCCATAAAGCAAATGCAAATCAAAACAACACTGACATTTTATCTCATCCATCAGAATAGTGGTCGGCATCAAGAGCACAAAGAGAACCAATACTGGTGGAGATGGGGCTTGGGGAAGGGAACCCTCATTCATTATTGGTGGGAATGTAAACTATTGTGACCACCATTGATGTTAGTACAGGGCTTTCTCAGAAAATTGAAATTAGAACTAATGTGTGATCCAGTGATAAGCATTCATGGGCACATATCCAAAGGAATGTATCCAAAGGATACAATAGAGATACTTGTTCACTGTGGCACTATTTACAATAGTCAAGCTATAGAAATAGCCCAGATGCCCTACAGCTGATGGATGTATAAAGAAAATGTCATATATATATATATTTATATGCAATAGAATATTATTCAGCGATAAACAAAAGTAAAACTTATAATTTGTAGGAATAGATGGAACTGTAAGTCATCATTATAAACAAAATAAGCTAGGTTCAGGAAGAAAAATACCATGTTTTCTCTCACACATACTATGTTGAGCAAATATATATATATATTTATATATGCACATATACAGTATGTTTGTGTATGCATATATGTTGAATATACATATATGAATATACACATTATATGTCTACATAGACACGTTGCACATATTCACATAGATGGCGTATATGATATATGATATGTACATACATATGATATGCACAGCATGAATGGAAATGTGAGAACAGGAGTGACAAGCAAGAGGGGGTAGGTAAAACAGATGGAAATGAGGGTGAATAATATTGAAGTACATTTTGTTTATGTATAAAAACAGCATACTGACATCAAATACAGTGAAAACAGGGGTTATACCGTGGGGGAGGAACATACAAAGCAACAAAAAAATTGCATGGTACCTTATAAATATGTTAGAAATAACCCTGTTTTCACTGTATTTGACGTCGGTATAATTTGGGGAGGGGAAGGAAAAAAAGAAAATGTTTAAATATGGATACAGGTTGACCCATTGTAACGATGAGACGTACAAGACACTGTTGAACATTGAACTTTACAATTTAGGCAGGAGTGGGGGGGTTTCATTGTGGAGGTGGAATGGAAGGGATGGTAGGGGATAGACAAAGGAGGAGGCCACAATGCTTGATAGGAAATGTACTCATTACCTTGCTCATGTAACTGTAACCCCGCTGTACAGTATTTTCACAATAAAAAACTTAATTTTTTTAAAACAGCATAATGAATGAAACCTACCTAAAACTTAACAATAAGAGTAAGAGGAGGGAACGGAGCGGGGTGGGGAGGGAACGATTTTTAAAGGACGAATATAATGACAATGTTTGCAAAAAAGAATCATGAGAGATCATTATATACCATTATATTGGGTGGAGTAAACCAGAATGACAAAAATTAAAAATAATGGTAAATTGCCATTTTGCAATGTCCAGTACCCCTGGCTCTCATTTGAGTTTTATTTTCCTTCATGGCATCTATCTATTTACCTTTTTTTTAACACCTTATGTAATTCTATTTACTTATACTGATTATAGTTTTTTCTTCTCATACTAGATTAGGAACTCCATAAGGGCAGGAACAGTTTTAATCACTGAAAGAATCTTAGTCCCTAGATGGCACTCAACAAATATCTATTGAATGACTGAATGAGCTCACAGAACTAGTTACTCACCATTGTTGCTACTAAAGAATGAAGAAACGTAAAATGACTGAACAACATAGAAAACCTATTTGTTTTTCTATTGTTTTCTCTTAATCTCTATAGCAGAAAGAAACCCTTCCCAAAACTCTGTTTTTACTGAAACTTAAACAACTGTGTGAAATTAAAATAAAAACCTCCAAGTTCTAACTTTTTCAGGGTGAATTATGTTCAGGTACCTTTCTTATTCTGCTGTGGATGAATTCTTGCTCATGTGCAGAAAGAATTGTGAGTATGTCACTGTTCAGCAAGAAACAGACAAACTGAAAGGAAGACCATTCTAATGGATAGGAGTAGAAAAGGTACTCTGCATTCTGATAAAAAAGCCAAGGAGCATCTGAAAGAAAAACAGTGCCAGTTGTTGTTCAGACTAGTGACAGCTATAATGCAAACTTGAATATTGTAGGCTATGCTTATTTTCCCTTCAATTTACTTCATTTAAGAAACATTCACTAATATTCAGAGCTCACGGAAGTGAGTTAGATTAATTTCAATTTTGTTTAGTGAGCATATTTATTAAGTTGATTATTCATCAATCATTTATTCACTTCAACAATTTAACTTTAGATTGATACAAGGAAAGGTAGGTTTGGATGGAGAGATTTGTTAATACAATAAATAGTATATCATAGCCTTTAGATGGCATATAATTAGAGTGTGGCAGCATTAGTCTTACCATAGTAGTACCAGCGTGGAATCTTAGGTCTCACATCTGCAAAGAGAAAGCAAATAACCTTAGCTGACCTTTGTTCCTCGTATCCCATTCTTGAAGAATATCAGCTACAACCATATTCTATAGTACTTCTGCAGTGTTAGCTGGCTACCCCACTCCCAATGAGCTAACCACTGTGTTGGTGCTATCTTCATTCACTTTCCTATGACACATTAAATAAATAGTGCAGTTGATTGTTGACATGGTGCTAAGATTTTGAATCGCTGTAATTTCCTTGGGGAAAATGCTATTTAAAAAAAATTAGAAACCTAGCCTACAAAGACCTTATTAGTGTTTTTACCTCTTGGAATTTTGCATATCCATTCCCGTTTGGAAGCACAGTGCAAGGGCAGCAAGGTTTTGTCTACCTTATACACAGCACAGTTTCTTACATCTTCTCCAAAATAAGAATTGTTTAAAAATGAAGAGACAACCTGCAGCAGATGAAGTTCATTATTCCTTAATGTTGATTCCCCCATAAAAAGTTTCAAAAGATCCAAAAAAGCAACCATGCACACATCATTAGAGTCGTCTAGAGAAAGCTTCAGTAACATCTACATGTCACTCTAGTTTGAGGTTGGTCCACATTTGTGTAAAACATGCCAACTAGTGTTTAGTATTTCTTAAAGATGTCTTTCCTTTAAAAATAAAAGAGGTATGTTACTTCTTTTCTAGGAGGAAGGAATCATATGCAAGGTTGGTGCTGAACTTGCACTATTTACTAACTGGAAGGACTGGTTTAGTCTTGGGATCATGCTACATTTCTTAAAGGTTCAGGGATGTGCTAAATTTGAGTGTCAGTTCTATTTGCCAGTCCTTTTGTACATAGACTAAACTTTCAGCCTTTAATAATGAATTCTAGACCATAACTAGCTTTTTAACCAGGAAACTAACCATGAGTGACCTGAAGACCCACAGAATTCGCATAAAAGAGGTTTTAAATAAGGATCCAACCTTCTCAACCATTTAATAATAAATAGTTGATAGTGTAGGCCACAAGTAAAATGGATAAAATGTTGGAAAAAGAGGATATTGTGAAACCTCTTGTACTTTTCCCAAACCTGTAAACAGCTTTGCAACTATATCACAATTTTATTTGTGCATGTATGTGTATGTGTGTGTGTGTGCGCGCGCTCACATGTGTGCACATGTGTGCATTTGCGCATGCACCAGTCCTGGGACTTGAACTCAGAGCTTGGGAGCTGCCTGTGACCATTTTTTTCCTTAAGGCTAGTCTTTACAACTTGAGCCACAGGTCCACTTCTGGCTTTTGTTCTTTCCCTCCCTCCCTCCCTCCCTCCCTCCTTCCCTTCCTTTCTCTCCCTTCTTTTCCTTTCCCTCCCTCCCTCCCTCCCTTTCTCTCCCTTCCTTCCCTTCCCCTTTCTCTCCCTTCTTTTCCTTTCCCTCCCTCCCTCCCTCCCTTTCTCTCCCTTCCTTCCCTTCCCCTCCCTCCCTCCTTCCCTCCCTCCTTCCCTCCCTCCCTCCCTCCCTTCCTTTCTTCCTTCCTTCCTTCCTTCCTTCCTCCCTCCCTCCCTTCCTTCCTTCCTTACCTCCCTCCCTCCCTCCTTCCTTCCTTCCTTCCCTTCCTCTTTTCTTTCTTGTAAATTATTGGAGATAAAGAGTCTCACAGGCTTTCCTGTCCCAGTAGGCTTTGAACTTAGATTCTCAAATCTAAGTTCCTGAGTAGCTAGGATTACAGGCGTGAACCACTGGCATCCAGTCCAGTTTATATATAATGATTACACACACACACACACACACACACACACACACACACACACGTACATACTCAGGTTCAGAGAATGATGTGAGTTTAATTAATTGTATCTAGTGGAGAGTCAAGAGAACTTCAGTGGACTATCTTATGGCCTTATTCTCTTTTATTCTGAACCAAATTGTTTGTCCCCCTCTTATTATTGTGTTTGTTTTACTGAAACACAATGCAATATTTTCAACTTTTCTGTATAATATTTTGTTTTTCAAGAGCTGTATTGTATTCAATACTTCTGTTCCTGGGTCTTGATTCCTTCATTAGCAAAACAGATCCATGCAGCTCAGTGACTTCTAAGGTCTCGCCCTATGTTGTTTGTGGTACCCTTTGTAAAGAAGCAGTGTAGGAGCAGAAGTACTCCATTAGCATTTTACAACTACAATGCCCTTATCATTATTTTGAAGCACAAGGCTTTCTCTCTCTCTCTCTCTCTCTCTCTCTTTTCGGTCGTGGGGCTTGAACTCTGGGCTTTGGCGCTGTCCTTGCGCTCTTCAGCTCAAGGCTAGCGCTCTACCGCTTGAGCCACAGCACCACTTCTGGTTTTCTAGTGGTTTATTGGAGATGAGTCTCACGGACTATTCTGCCCGGGCTGGCTTTGATAACCGCGATGCTCAGATCTCAGCCACCTGAGTAGCTAGGATTACAGGCCTGAGCCCCCAGCGCCTGGCTTCTTTTTCTTTTTTAAATTCCTTCTTGGCTACAGATTTGAACACAACTTTTATAGTGGGTTTTATTTAAAGTTTGGCTACTGCTATTTTGTTAACAGCTTTGTAGCTCTGGAGTCAGACAACCTGTGTGCTAATCATGGCTGTCCTCTGTTATTTTAGGCAGATGGCTAATCATTCTGTTGCCCACTGCAGTGAGCTGTTGTAAGGATGAAATGAGATCACGTAAGAGTGCATTCAGCTCACTGCACAGAACATGACGAGGGCTCCATAAGCAGCAGCTGCATTAAACACTCACTTCAGGGTCTTTGAGAGCCTTTCTTTTCCTTTTCATGGAAAGAGCTGATTCTGCAAGCGATATAGGATGGATCCTATTGCAACTTGGGATAGTGCTTCAGGTGTCCCTCCCCCTCCCCATCATCTTAAGGAAAATGTGATATTTTCTCATTGCACCTGCAAAAGCAATACAACACCACAAAGGTCTTCAAAGAAGAGGTAGAATGAAAAATAAGATTTTTTTCCTGGAACTACTTGCTCTGGCTGTGAAGGAGATGATTTCTAAGGCATGTCTATCCATGAACCATGAGATAAACTGAAAATTGTTCTCCCAAATTACCTCATTTTTGCTGTGACAAAGCCAAGGCCAATCCATACTGTATAGGAAATGAGAAACTGGATGGGAAAAGCCTAACATTATTGAAAGAATAGTTGTTTCTCTGCTAGATGACTTTTCAAATTGGGAAATGGTTTGGGGGACATGTTGGAGGTTGTGATTTCTTATCAGGACAAGATACTATTAGGGCTTCAGGATAATCTGGTCAGCAAAAGTTTCCCAGGCCCTTGACATAGGAACTCTCTTAGTCCTAATATCTAGCACAGCCATAGGAGAGACATGGACATTATTTCTAGGTTCTCTTAATCAATTTAGCAAGTGCTGCCATGGCTGCTTTTCTTTACTTCATCTCTTTTGTCTAGTTTGGAAAGACTTACAGGAGTTCTATCAGACCACTCCCAAGAACCAGCATTCAGTGGATTTCTTTTGTTAAATCCAATCCAGAACTGCCGTTCTTCTGTCCTAGAGGAAAGAAGAGACAAAAACTTTGCCTTTCTCATTGATTTCCTAATGTTAGACAAAAGATTAAAAAATCTTTAAAAATATTTATTTTTGCAGAAACCAGGTGATGCTACTGGATCAACCAAGTCAATCACATATTTTATGTGCATGTACAGAGAGGAAGATTTAGGCTCGTGTTTTATTTCTCTTTGTTTATTCATGGGTGATGATATCAGCTCACATTGAGATTAGAAGTTTCTCATCAGAAATGGCAATACCTTCCAATCTTGGCAAGGGCACATGAAAACAAGTTGGTAAAAATTTGTAACATCATCTTTTTTTCTTGAGGACTTGTTTTAATCTTTCTATTACCTATTCATACTACTTTACTATATTTCAATTGGTCACTTGTTTGTCAAATGTTTATGCATTTTCTAAGAGTTAATAATCATCTTTACTAAATAAAAGGTACACAGAAGGTTTAGAGATTTCCCCCTCCCCCCCCAGATCCCAACATAAATAATTCTGCAGCAAATCAGCCTAGGCCATGGTAAATTAACTTCAGCCATCACCAATGGTTAGACTTGGCAAAAGGCTCCACAGAGAATCATCTTCCCTCCTATTAGGCAGAGTACAAATATGTCAAATTGCAGAGTACTCAATAAATCAAGCAATAAAGCCTAATTGTACAATGAACCATCTCACTAAGATAATTTTCTGGGAATAATTTTGAAGAATTAAAGATTTAAAAGACTCAGAAGTCATGAGAGATGTTTTATTTTCCTTACTGCAGAGAACAAGCCTATTCCAGAGCATAGCTTCCTAGATATCTGAGCTACTCTGTCTGAATGATACAAATTATATAAGTTAGAAAATCTGAGAGATCACTGGTGCCTGGCTGGCCACTGTGGTGATGATTTACTACATTTAAGGTTGTGAGAAGATGAGATGAATGCTATAAGGTTAAGCTAAGGGCATGACTGTTATGGCCTAGGCTGGAAATCCATAGATTCTCTCTGCTCTAAGAACTTTTAATTTGCTTGATTGGGTCATAGAAGACAAATGGACACTGACTTTTCCGCCATCAATTTCCTAAAATTATGTTATTTTTAAACAAGCACATACATATGTTTTGGTTGAACATTTTGGTAGTCTGGGCAAGAGACATATAATTTTTGGGATCAGAGGGTAATGATTAATAGTTTGATAGATGCTCAGCCCTAAATTCCATTAGAAATTTCATGTTGGAGCATTTATATATATAGAAATAGTGATATCTGATCGAAAGCAAACTAAGAACTCACTTACATGTCATTGTTTCAGATGGCAAATTCATTAAAATTTAAGGGGAGAAAATAAAACACATTTTGCAAGGTGCTAAAGTAATGAAGAACAGCACAATTCAGAACAATGGGTAGCTGTGGTCCTCCCTCCAACTAATAATAAAATTAGCCAGAAAGCTTCTCAAAGTCTGATCCAGCAGCTCTGGTGTGGGATAGAAAGCTGTGTGTCCCAAGTGAGTGTAATGATTAGCCAGGCTCTGGAGCCATGGTCTCTCAGATCAGGATTTCTTGTAGGGACCAGCAGGTCTATGTGCTGTTAAGAAATATTCTTTAAAAAAAAGAGATTTTGTTATTAAAGTAGTTCTTTCTAGAAGCCTCCATGATATGATTGTATATAGTTAATTTCCAGCATTGTACTTGGTTTTGTGATTGCAGTCAGCCATTAAATATCCCCTTTCCCCCACAGAATAGAAGTTAATGAGACTCACATTTGCAAATGTCAAAACTCTAATTTTTAGGTTCATTTTGTAAATATGGAAGCTGACTAACTGGATAGATAGTACATATTAACTTCTTTGTGAGAGTGTCCTGACAGGGAAACTTCCAGGGTAGGCCAGAGTTTTCCACACATACACACACAATCTTGCATTTTCTCTGAGTTTGGAAAAGTGTTTCATTGAGATTCCAGGCTTCTAGAGCTTGGAGCAAAGTTGCTGGTATTACATTTGTGGAATAAAGACTTGAGGACTTGGAGGCATACCCCCTTAGACCACAGCATCTTAAGGGACAGGTTTTTGTCTGCCATGTCTGCTGGATTCTTAAATCAGCTATGCATGTACCTGTGCTTTTTTCCACAAAAGATATTCCTAAAAGGTATGCTGGTTGACAAGAATATTCTAGAGCAAGAGACCAAAGTATGGGAGAACTCACAAGAAAGAGAAGTGGGGGATCCCTTCAAATATTTTAGAGTATACTTGATTTATATTGCTCTAGCTCCAAACTGAAGGAGGCGGATTTCTGGCTTAGTAGAAAGATGATCTTGGAAACCAGCTTCTACCAATGGAATGGGCTTTCTTCCAGGCACGGGGCATTCTGAAACTGGAAGCAGTTCAGCAGGCATTGGATGACCGTGGGAAGGTAATGGGATAAATTACTGTGCTGGGAAGGTAATGGGATGAATTACTGTACTGGATGGTGGTCAACTCAAACCTGTGTGCTTATTCTCATTCAAATTTAACTGGATTTTTAATTCCAAGGATTTTGAGATTCCGTAAACTTGGAAATAGACCCCAATAAGCAAAACACCTTGTTTCTTCAAATGCAAAATCAGAATTGGGTAGAGGTGTGGCTCAAGTGGTAGATCATCAGCCTTGGGTAAAAAGCCAAGTGACAGCACAAGGCCCTGAGTTAAAGTCCAAGTACTAACATCAAATCAAGGAGTTGGACTGGATTTTTTTTAATCACTAGGATTTTTATTTCAAGTGAACTCTTAAACAGACTCCTATCATTTAGAAAAATAATAATTAGTGGAGCTTGTGGGGGCTATGCTGGTGGTCTTCTAGCAACTCTGCTCATTTAGGAGCCTTCTGTTCCTGAGGTCCCAGGATCATGGGGAATCTTAAGAAACACTTTCAAACCACTAAGTGTATCTGGTTTGGGGAGGGGAAGGGGAAGCACTGAAATGGACAAAGGGTGAACTAATTCAGCAGTGATACTCTCTAGACACTATGTTGGAAATGAACTATACACTTCTGCAGGGAGAGGGGTCAGGAGGGGAAAAAAACATGGGAGAAAATGAGGGGGGTGTGATACTATTCAAAAATAAATCTACTCATTACCTCACTTATGTAACTGTAACCCCTCCGTACATCACCTTTACAATAAAAAATTTAAAAATCCCACTGAGGTAGATACCGTTTTGCAACACAGCTTTAAAAATCTGACTAGAGATACATGACAAAGATCTCAAATATCAATCATCACTTTGTTTTATGGCCACTTGGTGGCCTATAAATACAAGGCTATATGGATATATTTTTTCTTCCACAACTAGTGATACCTTGATTTTTGACTTACTAATACTAGAACTCTAATTAATTACGTGGGATTCTGACCCGTAAAAAGCCATTCCTGAGGGATAATATTTGTGAGTTTTTCAGAACTCACAACTATTTACCGATTTAATTTTGAATGTAAAAGTTCATTCACAAAATTTTCTTCCTCAATATGGGCAAAGCTGGCAAGATGAGCTCCAAATTCTTCACAAAATGCTTCAGCTTCTCTCCATGATCTTTTCATTAGGACTTTTTCACTGTGAAATACCTGTACAGTAAAAAAAATATCCACACTGTCATGGATAAGGAAAGGCTGTTCAATTATGCTTTAGAAACTAATAGTAATATAATTTTCATTCTTTTTTTTTTGCTGCTGAGGATTATACCCAGAGCTTCTTTTATGATTGGCACACTACTTCCCAGCTGTGTCCCACCTCTTTCTGTTCTTTTTTGAGAGCTAATGGAAGTAACAATTAGTGAACTAGAAGGTACCTAGTCACTTTAAAACTATTAGCTCAGGACCTGGGAAGGTGGTTTTGTGGTTGAGTGCTTGTCTAACATACATGAAGCCCTGGCCTCGAAACCTCAGTACCACATATATAGCAATAGCCAGAAGTGGTGCTGTGGCTCAAGTGGTAGAATGCTAATCTTGAGCAAAAGAATCTCATGGGCAGTGTCCAGGTCCTGGGTTCAAGCCCCAGGATTGGCAAAAAAAACAAACAAAATAATCAAACAAACAACCCCCCCCCCAAATTAGCTCATTTTATCTTCATGACAAATTCATGAAGAGAATATAATAAACTCAATTTTGTAAGTAAGTTTCTGAAGACCTTTTTCCCCACTAAATCTCCTATAGCTGGTAGTTTCCTTCAATTAATGTTTTCCTTCAATTAATGTTTGTCAAGAGTCAAGGAAATTGGGATAAACGGTGTTAAGAATTTCAGGACAAGTAGATGAATGGATCAAGAAAATGTGGTATATATACAAAATGGGATTCTTTGCCTCCATCAGAAAGAATGACATTGCCCCATTTGTTAGGAAATGGAAAGACTTGGAAAAAATTATATTAAGTGAAGTAAGCCAGGCCCAAAGAAACATAGGTCCCATGGTTTCCCTTATTTGCAATAACTAGTATATGTCTGAGTCAAACAGAAAAGGTCAGATAAGTTGATGCTAGGGAAATGAACCCTAAGATATGTATTCAAATGTTTTTTCTTTCATGCGATTGTTTCTAACACATTTATAAGATATTTCTTTGTTGCTTTGTATGTCCCTCCCCCACAGTATAACCCCTGCTTTCACTGTATTTGATGTTGGTATAATTTGTGGTATAAACAAATCGTTTAAATAAGGATACAGGTGGACCCACTGCAACAATGAGATGTACAAGTTGTATGTGGAAAACGAACTTTGCAACTTTGGTGTGGGGGGAGGAGGGTTGGGTGGGGGGCCAGGGGGAGGATGGGATGGGAAGGGGAAACAAAGGAGGAGGCTACAATGCTTGATAAGAAATGTACTCATTATCTTGCCCATGTAATTATAACCCCTCTGTACAATATTTTCACAATAAAAAATTAAAAAAAAAGAATTTCAGTACATACACCTACAAATGCAGAGCTAGGATTATATCTAGGACTCCTTAATTCAAGAACCCACAAATTTCTATCCCAGAAGGCTACCTTCTGACAAATTAAAACTAGCCGAATGACCATGAATATGAGTGACTCTGGTCAAGAAATGAGAAATAACGCCTATACCTAGGACAGCAATATTTCTGGGTTTGTTAATTCTGAGCTGAACAGAAGGTGCAGTTGTTTGTGTCTAAATTTCTCTCATCAATCCTCAGGAGCAGAAAGGAATTGGTCAAATGGAAAGTTTTCTTTTGGCTTTTTGTAAAAACAGAGTGAAAGACAGACCCAGAAAACTCTTGATCTTGAGTCATCCCCTTGTTAGAAAACTCCAGCAATAAGCCTGACTCTCAGATGCCAGGCAGCTATACTCTCAGGCCAGCCTGCACAGGTTCTTATTTGCTGAGACCAGAATGAATAGCTTTCCAAATTCTGTGGACCACAGCATAGCCTTTCCATCTTCTAAATTATATGTCAAAACTTGCTTCCTCTGGGAACCTCTTTCTGAATCACTCTAAATTCATAAATCCTACCTCCGTGCACATCAAACACACCATCCATTTGTTGACACATCAAGATGATATATTGTAGAACAAGCACTGGACCACGAGTCCCAAGACCAGGGATGCATTTTCACTGTCAGTACATAAATGTGAGCTTGAGCAAATCACTTCATCTCACTGGCCTTAGTTTACTCATTTTTATTTTAACTCTGTGATATCACTTCTGGGCCTGTTATTCTATGAAATTAATCTGAGATTTCACATGTGTACATTTAAAGGGAAGGCATTCATGTTGTTTTGTGATATCTGCAAGCTGTAATATCTGTGGAGTTGGCCTATTGCTATACTGCTCACATGGGCAGAGAACATGCTGGAGAAGAGCTTTCTCCTATGATTTGGGGAATCTCTAAGTATAGAACATGTCAGAACAAATCAAGACCAAACTACCAAACATAAAATCACATGCTTCTAGCAAGAAGAGTATAGGAACTGGTTTAAATCTAGGATCTAAAGCTGATGTTTTAAACAGGTATTTCTTTGAGAATTTTAACATATATGAATGTTTTAATATTATATGTAATTTGACTTTTATGTTGAGTATTCTTAATCTGAAAGTAAAAAATTTGAAATGCTCTAAAGTCTGAAACCTTTTGTGATAGTGACACTTTGCTTTCTGACAGTTTTATGTATGCAAACTTTGTTTTATGTGCAGGATTACTAAAAATACTGTATAAAATTACCTCTAGCCTGTATATCTGTGTGTGTGTATATGTGTGGTATATATGATTTTGTGCTTAGACTTAAGTCCCAACCATGTTATTTTTCTCTGTGTGTATATATGTATGCATGTATATGTATATTTGCACATGTACATACATATGCATATATTCATACCTATGTAGGTACACATACACGCATGTACACACACATATGGGCACATATGCACATACATGTATATACAGATACACACATGCATTTTATATACATATACACATTCATGTATATGTATATATGCAAATACACATGCATTTATATATACACATACATGTATATTATATATATGCAAATTAAAATACTTCTGGTCTGAAGCACTTCAGGTAAAATTCTTCTTTTCTTTATCTATCAACTATGTATCTATTTGTCTATGTGTCTATGTATGTATGTGTGTATGTATCTATCTTCATGCAGAGCTATTGATACATGCATGTCAACTATATTTATTAATTTGTTGGCTCTTTAGATATCTAGAAAATTGCAAAATATATGTTTAGAAGTATTATTATTCCATGGAAAGTACTTTATTCACAAGCTAAAATCCAATGTAGAATTTTAGCATTTTAATTCTCAGTGAGTATTGACCACCTTCATTTGGCATTTGCTTGGCAATAAGAACACTGACTTGTGAGCTGTACCTGTAATCTTAGCTACTCAGGGGAGTGAGATCTAAGGATTGTAGTTCAAAGCCAGCACAGGCAGGAAAGTTTGTGAGACTCTTATTTCCAAGTAACCACCCCAAAACTGGAAATGGAGCTGTGGCTCAAAGTGGTAGAAGGCTAGCCTTGAGCAAAAAAAGAGGGACAACACCCAGGCCCTGAGTTCAAGCCCTATGACTGACATAAAAAAAGGTTAAGAACGCTGACTTGTGCTATAATATTATAGGATTGGTCCTTGAATGATCCTGGTTGACCCAGCATGCCCCCTCTTGATTGCACTTCTCAGCAAGAATGTACTGAGAATGCAGCTGTCCTCGTCAATGTTTTAGCCCAGTGACCCAAGTGGCAAGACATAAAACCCAGAGAATAATGCTTTTGGAGTCCCTGAGCTATGGTGGGAAGTGGAGCATGTGTCCTAGGCAGCTTTTCTGAGCCTTGGGGGTTGGGCTTGCTAGGATCTTAGGTGTTGTTGTTTCTTGTGGCCCATCTGTGGAGAATGAATTTGCTTTCCTGACTTGTCTGAACGCTATGATCTCACTGGACTCAGACTCCGTCAATTGAGTTTGCGCAAAACCTCCAGCTGAACCTAGAGCTCTTACTAGTCAGGTGTTTAAAATTCTTTCCCAGGATTGCTAACCAGTACATATTAATTCCTTCCTGGAATTAATATTGATGCATGGCATTTCTGCTTAATAGACATCATTCTTCACAAGGAAGCCTTCAGTATCACCAGAAGTCTGTCAATATTTGAGTTAAAATTATTTGGACTATAAGTGAAAAGAAAAAGAAAGGCAAATATTAATTAAGCCCCTGCTGTGTGCCAGGCACAGTTCTGGAAAGTGCTATAATAAAGGAATTTGTGGTACATGGATCAAATTGAACTGCTGGTATTATTGAGAGTAGTTAAGTAACCTTGGTATCACCTTGAAGCAATTGGCCAGACCAGGCTGTGACTCCCAGTTCAAATCGCAGGGGTGAAAGGGCCATCTCTCTTCCTGCTCTGTTTTCTCACGATTTTCAACTGGCTGTTTACACAGAGACATTGCCTTGAAATGTCTGCAGTCCTTCACCTCCCAGCGCCCACTCCTTCCATGCATGACAACACAGCCACCATTGGAACCTACGATCAGAAAAAAACAAGCAGTTTAATATCAAATGATTAACACATTTTGTGCTCAGATGACAGCTCTTCAGAGTGCAGAATAACTGAATCTCCTAATGAAGCATCCAGAGAAGAACAATAAAGATGAAAAGGGATGTTTTATTGGCACAATTATCTCATTTCTTCTCACCTCTGGAGAAAAGAAGAAGGAAACATGAGAGAAAAGAAGTTATGAAGCCTGAAATTTGGACATTGTCTCCTTTGAGCTCAGATAGCATGTGATAGGAAAGTAGGAGTGGTTCCTACTTGGAGCCAAAATATCCACTATAGCTCAATGCTGTGCTTTGAAATCCCATTGTGAACCATCAGCTGAGACAGGAGCAAAGTGCTCATCCTGAGAGATTCCATGGGGGGAAAACTTCCATGAATAATGGATTCAAGGTAGACTACAAGATCCACAACAAAGAACAAAACCATAAGCCATAAACCATGGGAGAGTGGAGAGAATAAGATAAATTTTGAAATAATGGAAAAGCTCTGGGGTCAGAGACAATGGCAGATAATAAGGAAATAAGAAGCAAAAGACAGATTCTTTGTCCCTCCACATTCAGAGTATAGTATGAAATATTGGGAAGGGGATAGATTTTTCTGTTAGGGACAGAACAACTTCACTTTTGTCTTTTCATGTATATTGAACATTTTGAATATGAAATGTGTTTTTCTTGGAAACAATTTGCAAATTGAGTTAAGCTTCTTAAGTTTTGCAGAATCTATACAACTCATAAGATAGATAAATATACACTTCGAATTTCAGTTCAATGTAGTAGGAAACAATTCCATTCTAAAAATAGAATAAACACTGGATGAGAATGAAATTGTTTTTTTTCCTCTTGATTTCAGGGAGACTATTTAATGAACTATATTGACATTCAACAATCACAACAAATTTATGCATCTACAGCATCCCTGGCTATGCTGTATATTAGCTTTTACAGAAAGAGGACCGAACAAGCAAAAAAAAAAACCCATCTTGGTTTAGTATGAGATACAGATGAATAATCAATTGCAATAAAATAATATATAAAGTATAACAGAAAGGAACGTGTCTTGAGCTGTGGGAGAGACTGCAGAAGGGCTGATGGACCTTGCCTAGAGATATCTATCAGAAAAGGATTTGTAGGAAGGGATACTTGAGCTAGGTTTTAGAGGACAGGGAAAGGGTATAGAGTTTTCAGGGTGGGCTTGTAAATAGCAAGTGGTGGTGGAAGACATATCTGAAGATTTGTGGCCTAGAAGTACTTTAAAGAAAGGTAGTAATGAGGTACTAGATACTTATCTTGCTTAATTTCCCTTCAGTAGCAATGGCTTCACTTTTTCAGTTTTTTGGTTTTTTGATATTTGGTAACTGACACGATCATTGTCAACTATGTATTGGTTGTTTTATAGTCACAGAAAGACTGAAGAAATGGACAACAAAACATGGGAGCTGGAAGAAAGAATGGAATGAAGAAATATAATGGAGTCTGAAAAGAAAGAAGAAAGAAAAGAAAGGTAAAGCACTGTTTGTGTCTTCAAGAGTCCTAGGTGCACATCATGCCTTATGTGCTGGACATCATGGTGACACTCAAAGGTGTGTGTGTGTGTGTATGCATGTGTGTGCATGAGTGCACACATGCATGCCCATGCATGAATACATCAAAAACCCCAAAATGTGAACATATTCATAGAAGAGGAAACATGATAAGCATGGCTTATTTTGAACAAAAGTAAGCCAAGAGAGAGTTGGTTCATACCAAATCGATCAGATACTTCCACCAGCCAGGAAGAGCTACTTAGTGCTAGAGATGGAAGGCTAGGGGTAGGAAGATAGACAAGGGTGAAGGCATATACTATATGACTCCCTTTGCTATGAACAGCATTTTGTAATTTAGGAATGAAGCCCCAGACCCAGCTGAGTCATGAGCAATAGAGGAGATGTGCATGAGGAAGAGGAAGAGTGGTGGAGATTCACATGGAATTCCCAAGTGGGATATATTTATGGATCTGTTCTACTTGAATGAGGAAGAAAGATGAGCACTTTTCCCCGAGGTCCTCTGAGGCCTTCCAAGGAAACTTCCACTTCCTGCAGAAAAAAGTGAGAAAACTCCTATAAAGAACATCTAATTTGGAATACAAGGTCTCTAGCACAAATATTGAATAACTTGAAGCTTGAAAACATGAATCAATCATAATAAGACTTGTAGATTTAAATATAGCCACAAGATAATAGTGATAATAACATGTTGGAAAGCACACTGTAAGTTAGGAAGAGCTAAAACACCCCCAAGAGGTTGTTATTCTGCTTATAGACATTTTGAGGACAAAAACTGGGATTTTTGTGACAGGAGTTCTGCCTGCACATTCAGAGAATTGTTTAAATGTTTGAATCAGCAAGTTTATAATATAATATACTTTTTTTGTTGGCCTTGCATTTTTGTCTTACCATGGTTTAGATGCAGTAGAGTCCAGCTCATCTTCATTAGTGAAGCAGGAGATGTTTGTGACTCAAGGAGACATGCAAAGTGCTCCAGGAGTGTTATTGGTATTTTAACGCAGTTAACTTAATGGAACATTTGACCCAAATTTTAAAGTCTAAGCCCCAAAGAAGCAGTAAAGTGGTGTAATAAAGGGAGACAGGGTTAAGGGAGATATAAACTGAATTTATATGCCAATTCATAAGGATGCTTGCAAAGCCAAATAATAAGAATGAGGTGGAGGAAAAGTAGAGGCAATTTTTCTCCCAGAGAAATTGTTCTTTTTTTTAATAACTCATTTCCCATTGAAGAAAAGACTTATTATCCTTTTTCTTCCATGGTGAATCTCATATTTCAAAGGATTTCTCCTTACCTACCTTAGCTCCCAGACCTTCTCATTCTTTCCCTGAAACATCAGTGGGAAAACTAAGAAATTTGAATTCACTGTTCCAATCTTTTGCACTTGACGCAGCTACCTAATTATATAAAATGAACTGAGCTGGAAAGCCATCACCTTTAACCTCTCTAGTCAAGTACCAAAGTATAAGCTAACCAATCAAACCAAGTTATGGTTTGGGGCAGGAGGGAATTATGCCAGGTCTCAATGCCTAGATATTTCATTTGAGTCTATATATTTATGTTCCTATTTTGGCAACAGTTTTATCTAAGGAAAAGGGGTAGATTGGATGCAGAAAAAGGATTAAATAGTGACTCTGATCACAAAAGCGCTGGACACTTAGACATGATAAAATTGTAACCCTCCTGCACAACTATTTGAAGTTTAGGGGGAAAAGTCATGAAAAAAAAAACCTGAGAACAGAACAAGACAAGGATGCCCACTCTCTCCACTCCTTTTTAATCTAGTATTAGAATGCCTAGCTACAGCAATAAGACAAGATGCAGACATAAAGGGGATCCAAATAGGGAAAGAAGAAATAAAACTCTCCCTCTTTGCAGATGACATGATCTTGTATTTAAAGAATCCCATA